GAGCTCTGAGCAACAGTGGTTCGAGTCCGGCCCGAGCTGAGCTGCCACTGAGCTGCCAACAGGTGGCAGGATGGCTCAGCTAAAAAAAAAAAGTATGTTTAAAGGAAGTTTATTTTTAGGAAAAATATTTTAAGAGATACAGCCTGCTTGTCAACTGCAATAAATAAAATTGCATTTGAAGGTCTGTCTGTCATGTCTGTATAGCAAAATAAGAATATTTGGCATTTTTATTTCAAAATACCTAGTTTAAGATTCCATATATATGTTCTACAGTAGATGTTGAAGAAAATGAAGATGTTGGAGCAACCTCTCTTCCCACCCAGCCACCTCAGCCGCCATCTTCAACTTACGACCCCAGCAACATGCCACCGAGCAGCTACACTGGAATACAGATTCCTCCCGGTGCACACGCTCCGGCCAATACGCCCGCAGAAGTGCCTCACAGCACAGGTAGGAAATTAATCAACAAGTGTGAACATAAATAATAACTGCACTTAACTGGGCTTCATAATGGTGGTCATAAAGCATAAGATCTTTAAATTTCATTTGAACCCACAAAACACAAAAAAAAGTTATATCCTTTCGTTGAAGTTTTAATATTGGTTGTATTTTAGTTTTATGAGAAATGACAGAACATTTACATATATTGATTACTATTAGCCTTATATTCTGTTAATAAGGATAGCTTTTTATGTGTGTTGCTGTGTTCTTTTTCTTTCCCTCCCGTTCTTTCCCATTCAGTGTTGTTCAAGAATAGCATTGAGGTTTGTGTGTGTGAGGGGGAAATGGGGTTATTATAGGATGTGTCAGTCAGCATCCCGCTGTGATAGCAAGATTCGATTTTTCCTGTCTCATTTCCTTACGACATAGGTGTCATTGATGAAGGGGAGAAGGCTTTGAGCCACAGGATCTCAGTAGCACTGGAATCACAGACCAGTTGAAAAGGGGGGGTTCAGGTTATTGTCTTTTTTATGATTACAAACGTGAGACTAAAAACAAGGAAGTCATATCTACTATCTTGGAATCATTCAGGACTGTATGTCTATGTTGTCATAGAAGAAAGATCTAACAAAACTAGTCTCCAGTATGTCAATGTCAGTAAAGATATTTTTTAAAGTTGCAAATAGATACTCTTCCATATACTTGTATTGTTGACATAGTACCACTCTTTCAAATAGAAGCGTATTTGAAAACAAAATTTAAATCTTCTCTTATTTTAATTGTTATTACATAAGTTGTTCTTAAATTTTTACTTTTATTTCAGCATAAGGTTAATCTATGGGAATAAACTATACAAACATTTCAAACTAATTGATAAAATGGGAGTCATCCTTTGAGTTCTGATTGCGACCATTTCTATTATATAATACACCATTACTTTGACTTTTAGTTCCGCCTCAGTTTACCCAGACCATTTAGGTTGTTTTACGTGAATTAAATAATATTTAAAAGTTTTCTATTTTGACCATATTAGCAGCAATTATGATAAGTCTCTTTCATCCTATTTTAAAACTTTCAACTGTATATTATCTACAAATATTGCTAATATTTTTGTCTTTAAGAATATTAATGAAAATAATAAATTTAACACTGGTCTCTTTTGTGTCATCATTCTGTATATTTTATCCTGATTTTTCATAGCTTTATGGTCTATGTGATGACATTAATAGGCAAACCAATTTGAATTAGTTTTGTAAGTAAAATTTTATAGAACGCTGTTTTAAATATTTTATTATCTTTAAGAAATATTTAGTATTTCCAGTGTATAACATAGGGCAAAACCACCTACTTACGTGTATTTGCCTTAGGTGAATACTGTTTGAATTATGCTGGTAAATTTAAACACCAATCAAGAGCCTCAGGCACAAACATCCATCTAGAAGAGTAAAATAAAAATAAAATGCATTTTGGAGTTAAATAGTATTGGTTATTAGTTTCTACACCTTGCGTAACCACAAACTCAACTGTTTATTCAACTTCTTTTGACCTAGTTTTTTCCTTTTTCTAAAATGAAATTAATCACATTTCTCTTGGTTATTTTAATTATTAAAGGGGGAAAAAGAATGAAAATTTGACTACTTTTGTGCCTAACAGAAAATCAGTGTTCAGCAAATTAGCTTCCTTTCCTTTTTTTTTTTTCTCTCTTCCTTCCTATTTCTATGCCAAAGAAAGATGGGATATTTAATAGCAAGTTAATGAACACTTAAAATCATTTTGTGAATCAAGGGAAGTGTCCCATTTGGGGATAGGATATGACCTTAGAAAAAGATTTCCTAAGGGGTATTGCTTTAGACAGAATATATTAGGGCAGAGTATTGGCATAGGCATATATACTTATATTTTATATATAGACATACTGTGTGTATCTGTGAGAGGGAAAGCATACTTCTAGTAGAAGGGCTATATTAGTTTGAACAATATGAAATCTCTAGTTTTATACAACAAAAGTGATAAAATATTGGTAATTTCATATGTTCAAACTAACAGACAGTATCTCCTGCGTAGAATATCTGTAACATAAAGATAGATATTAGGAGGTAGTCTTCTATTAGGAAATTTTCTGGCATGAGCAGTTCATTTTGATCCAGTTAACTTCTGGCCTTATTTTTTTTTCTCTCTTTTTGTTCCTCGGAGTGAGGACATAAAACTAAAATCCTGTGACTGTTATTATATAAGGTCCTATCTTGTTACTTTATACATTCTTATAGACTTAACATTTAAATAACTATCCTATTTTATACATTTATTCTTACAGAAACTGTATTAGATATTGCTGCCCCTAACTTATAGACAGTAAAGAAATTAAGCAATTATCCCAAGAAAATTAAAATACAAACATACCTAGTAAGTGACAGAACTGGAATTTGAACCCAAGTCTTTCTGATTTGTGTTTTTGGCACCTTCCTTTTATGGCCCTTCCTCCAAGGAGCTAAAATTCTATTGTATCAAAACCTACGTCTCTGATACATGTTTCCCATAAGATTGGTTTGAGATGTTGGAATATTCTCTTAGCTGGAAGAATTTTTTTTCTATTTAAAACAGTTTTTAAAAGATCAGTTTATAGTTGCCTAATAGAAAATGAAAAAAAGATTTTTCGTTTATAAATATAGCAGATGTTTCCCCTCTTGCTCACTTTAAGAATGATTTATTTTCTCTCATATAAAAGTTCAGGATGCACTTTTATCAAAGGGAAATCCTTAAGATAACTGAAAAGAATGGTGTGTACTAATATATAGTTTTTAGTTCTTCCACAGAAAAGCAAAGCGGGTGCAGGGAGAGCAGGGATAGTGATTATTTAAACAGGCCAAGCGTTTTGCCTCTTGTGCTTTGGTCACTGTAGGATTTGATGTAAGCTATACACTATACTGTGTTTTTCTTCTCAAAACATACACATTTTACAGTTGGTAAATATAGAGGAAGAAAATCTCAGTAGAAAATCTAAACAGATTAAATGATAGAATTATTGTGCAATTAATGCTAGCCTTTTAATTATAAATGCAGCTCACCATATATATATCGGGGATGCCAAAAAAATGCACACAAGTGGACACTTTGGTCAACGTTGCTCAAGCAGTAGTTCGCCATAATCAGAAGTGTCTGGACACTGATGGTCACCACTTTGAGCACCTCTTGTAATTGCAGAGGTCAAACGTGACTTGTATTTATCTCTTGTTATCAGTATATATTGAGTATTACAATTTTAATACAGTTTTCCTTTCTTAAAATGTGTATACATCTTTTTGGCACCCTCTGTATATACACACGTACATCAACTTAGCTGTTTTATTATTGTTCTAAGTGTCAAAAATACTACGTTTGAGTTCTTCCATACAGCTTTCAAAGTTTATACTCTGGCCTAATCATTTCTATCAATGTTTTCCATAATTATGCTGAAGTTTTACTCTCCCCAGTTCTCCTGTATTTTATCTTTGCTTACAGTGTTTGTCTCATAGATAGCCTGTCTTTCTCCCTTTTTGTCTGCATATCCAAATGCCTTTCAGAGTTCTGTTTAATTATATTTTTTGGAGAGTCTTCCCTAGTTTTCTAACCAACACCCATTTCTCCTCCCCACTCCCAAAATGTTTAGTCAGTAGAATAATTTAGCACTTAATTAGGAATCTTGTAATGTTTAATTCTTGAATGTGTATCGATCCTATTAATAGGCTATGTAATATCTACTTAAAAATTAGCCAAAGTCAATACTGTTTTTTTTAATTGCTCAAATAAAATTTTACTACATAACTAAATTTTCTCCCTGTGAATTCTGTCTTGTTCTCATTAATTAATATCTCCTACTTAATCATATGGAAACTGATGGTTGCCAGGTGGGAGAAGATGGGGCTGGGGCTGAGTGAAAAAAATGAAGGGATTAAGAAATTCAAATTGGCAGTTATAAAATAGTCACGGGGATGTAAAGTACAGCATAAGGAATATAATCAGTAATATTGTAGTAACTGTATGGCGTCAGGTGGGAACTAGACTTATGGGGGGGGATCACTTCATAAGTTATGTAAATGTCTAACCACTATGCGGTATACCTGAAACTAATATAACATTGAATGTCAACTGTAATGGAAAAAATTTTTTTTTAATTATGTGGAGATATACAAATAAATATTTTAAAATGAGTGCATGATGCTGACAAAAAAAAAACCATCTCCATAGAAAAGGTGATTTGTTTGGACAATTTTAATTTAGGCAGAAACACAAAGGAATGGCAGTGATATCTAGATTCATCTGTGGGAGGGTTGAGACATAACTCTTTTCTAAGGTCTATGTGAAGAATATATACACTCATCTACCTATGTTTTAGGTACAGCTGCTTCAAAGCACTACATTTGACTAGTCTCTGAAGATCCTTCTAAACTTTTGCATTATAACTTTATATTATGAAATTATGTGCCTTTAAAAGTTCAGCCAGTTTTGTGGGGATAATTATGTCAGATGTTTATAGTTTAATATATTTGGTTAGCACTTACAAAATCAAGCAAAAGATAGTCATTGAATTGGTTAATTTAAAATTTGTGTCTCCTGACTTTGCAGTTATACTTCTATAAATTTCTCCTACAAATGTACACACACACACACACACACACACACACACACACACACACACACACACACACACACACCAGGGGGCAAAAAAATGTATACAAGTGGATACTGGTCAACGTTGCTCAAGCAGTAGTTTGCCATAATCAGGAGTGTCTGGATGCTGATGGGAACCACTTTGAGCACCTCTTGTAATTGCAGAAATCAAAGGTGACTTGTATTCATCTTTTGTTGTCAGTATATATTCAGCATTGCAATTTTAATAGTTTTCCTTTTTCAAAATGTGTATACATTTTTTGGCACTATACATACACATGCAGTTAAGTTTATGAACTCATCCTAGAAAAAGTGCTACATACCTTATTGCTGAATAGCAGTATGGTCACCTTCAGAGTACTCCCCTTGGGAAGCTATGTGCTGACACCAGCACCTAGTCCACCCTTCAAAGTAATTTTGGAACTCTTTCTCTGGAGTGGCCATCATAGGTATCGTCCTATTACCCTTGATGTCCTGAATGTCATCAAAATGTCTTCCTTTCAATATTTCCTTTATATTTGGGTAAAGAAAGAAGTCATTGGGGGCCAGAGCAGGTGAGTAGGGAGGGTGTTCCACTACAATTATTTGTTCACTAGCTAGAAACTCCCTCACAGACAGTGCCGTGTGAGCTGGTACATTGTCGTGATGCAAGAGCCATGAATTGGCGAAAAGTTCAGGTCTTTTCATGTAGCCTTTTCAGCACTTCCAAATAATAAACTTGGTTAAGTGTTTGTCTAATTATTACATATTCATAGTGAATCATCCCTCTAATATCAGAAAAAGATTAGCAACATCATTGCAACAAGTTCAAGAACTTCATTGTCAGATATATACACACACACACACACATACATACATACATACAGTATATGAGAATATTCAAGGTAGTATTTTCTGTAGTAGCAAAAGATTGGAAACAACCAAATGACCATCATTAATAAATTGCTTTATAAATTGTGGTTTGTACATGGAATGGAACACAATGTAGCCATTACAAAAAAAGATGGCAGGTGTGTGTGTGTGTGTGTGTGTGTGTGTGTGTGTGTGTGTGTGTGTGTGTGTGAGAGAGAGAGAGAGAGAGAGAGAGAGAGAGAGAGAGAGAGAGAGAGAATCTGGAGTTACTGCTAAGACATATTAAGTGAAAAATGCACAGAATAGTACAATATGCAGACATATTGCCATTTGAAAAAAACAAACATACACAAAACACAGTATGCCTCTCCAGAGAGAAAGGAGTTTGTTTGGAGGATTTTGATTTAGGCAAGAAAACACATTTTTTACAAAGAACATTTATTTTTATGCACATACACTTTGGACCAGACCACACATGCTTGTATGTGCATGAAAAGGTGCCCTAGAAACTAGTGAGAGCCCTAAAGTGGCCTGGAGTAGGAATAATAAATAGGCTTTTCACCTGTGTTTTTGCTACTGTTTAAAATTTGTGCTTGACTTTTCATTTGTATCCCTTTGTACTTTAAAATTTTTTATGAATTCAATTTTAGTTAAAAAGTAACATTTTCATGGCTTAATAGCTCCAACAGCTATAAAATGAAACTAGTTTGCCCTAAAACAAAATGAAATGAGGTAAACTAGTGTATTTAGCAATTTTTTTCTTTTCAGTTAGGAACAACAAGGTCCTTCAAAGTCAAAACTTCATACCTGCAGACTACATTTTAGAACTTTAGTTCACCTTTGTGAAACCATAATTCTAGAACTCTCATTGACTGTTTTCATTTTCCTAGAACCTTCCCAATTTGTTTTCTTCCTTCTCTGTTCCATTTTAACCCCAGTGTCTTTCCCACTTTACCCTTGCTGCAAATTGCCTCTTCTAATTTCATCTATTAGTTTCAGGCAAATGAACCCTGTTTTCTTTTTGAGTGCACTGATACATGAATAACTTACTCATTTGCTTTCTTGCTGATTGAATCATTTGAGTCTCTTTGGGAAGCTTTAACAGTTTGTATTAATTTTTAGATGATTAATAATCTTCAACTCTAGTATATTACTTACTATTTATTAATCAAGATGCTAATTGTCCACCGAATATGACAGTGATGACAAGTTCTCACAGAAAGTCAAAACTAATTGCTATTGAATATATAAAAACATCATCTTAAAAACATGTAAACTAGAAAATACGGAATGTATAATTTGTCATTTCTTGAGTGATGAAATGGGACTTCATGCCGTAAGTTAAACTAATCATAATTATATCCTACCTTGTCTCTCAAATTATTGAATAGGCTGAGAAATTAAAAGGTGGGAAGAGAGTCTACTATTTATAGTGCTCTTTAATTGAGAAGCAAGTTGAAGCATGAGACATGACAAACAAAATATGTAATAGGAAATGTATGGCCAATAATAACATGTATGTAAACACTCAAAACGTATTTTCCTGCATATTTTCTATACCAGCCTCCAACATCAAATAAGTATGTCAAATTAAGATTCATTAAGGTTTCAAGAAAGAAAGTGATCTAATGAAATTCCTCCATGATCCTGTAAGTGCTTTCTTACTATATAATTAAGAGATGTAACACTTATAACCCTTTGTGGATTTCTGATTTGCAGGTGTAACAAGTAATACCATCCAACCTACTCCACAGACTATTCCGGCCATCGAGCCTGCACTTTTCAGTACAGTTTCCCAGGGTAAGTCATCAGCTGACAGTTTTATGAGACATGATGTATCTCTTGCTTTGGGGTCTTGTTTTATAATTGTACTTTAGTATTGTCTAGGCAATCTGAAACATTTCTTTGAATGCCTGTGTTCACTAGATTCTCTAATGAGCCAAGATTGTTTCATATTATCTATAAAAAATACCTAAATCCAAACACATTCCCTTTTTTTACAGTTCTTTTTTGCTTACACTGCTATATGTATAGTGGTACAAACATGTAACCAAAGCTGTCAGTGGAAGCTTAGATTAGTTTAGTTCAAGAATGTTTTATGATTATGATATTTCTTATCTGCAGTGAGTTATTAGATTATCTAAGAAAAGAGGAACTAACTATAATTGAAAATAAAAATCTCTGAGGATTATCATTGTGATTGATTGGTTCATAGGCTAAGTGATTGGTTTGTTGATTTTAAGCTTGCCTACTTTTCTGATTTGTGTTTTTTGTTCTCCCCCCCAGATCCGTTGTTGTGTTAATTTGGTTTTTCTCATTCAGAGTTTTCTTCATATGGCTGATGAAATTTAGTCCTTTTTATTTAGAATGAACACCTTGCTTTATTATTTTCGGCTGTGTTATTGGGTTTCCCCTGACACTGTGTCTGCAGGTCTGTTTCCCACATGGGAATTGGCCACCTGCCCCTCAACCATGGAATGAGGAGTGCTTTTATTGGAAGGGAGTGGGAGAGGGTGTCGCATCTACCTCGTCAGCCCTGGTATCGTTATGAGCATAACGTGAAGTGCTTAAATTTCTGTACTCAGTTCCTTTAATTCTGTACTCAGTTGGCTTACTAGTCTGACAGCAAAAAGATTTATCTAAAGTTGGTTTAGAATTTAATAAAAGTTAGGGAAGAGATTGGAAGTATGTGCTTGTCTGAAACAGAGCAGAGTGCACTCTCTGCTGATAAGGCAATGGTGCCTCCAAGCACCGAGGACTGTGTTTGGAAGATCATAGTCCATTTAAATGTAGTATATTTTGGGCCGGCCGAGTGGCTCAGTTGGTTTAAGAGCTCGCTCAAGAGTATGAGCTCTGAGCAACAGGGTCACCGGTTTGATTCCCAGCCCGAGCTGAGCTGCTGCTGAGCTGCCAACAGGTGGCAGGATGGCTCAGCTAAAAAAATAAATAAATAAAATAAAAATAAATGCAGTATATTTTTTACTTATATTTAAGTGCGTGAGTTACATTAGGTTTATTCCACTTTTCCTGGTTTTATCTAAAGTGGATAAGTTATGAAGCCTCAATGGCCTTTGGATCTTGAAAGGCCCTGTTTAAGAGTATATGTGTGCTTCATGGGGCGGCATAGTGCTAAGGTGGGAAGAACGGGTAGGACTCTATAATAAACTGGCAGATTACCCAAGAACATGGTGAAAAATATCTATGTTAATAGATAACCTCCCCAATGAATACTATGTTCCTCTGTTAAACTTGGTTTTCAGATTCCCTTCTATAGTCCCACCCATCTGTAAAACCTATGACTAAAATCTGATGCAAAACTATCTGAATAGCAAGACAAATCAATGAAACAGAATAGGTGACAGTATGAGAATTAAATTAATGATAAAGGTGGCATTTGGATCATTGTGGAAAGCGTATGTATTCAAAAGTGATGTTAAAACAATTGGTTGTCAGGGTAAAAAGTGTGTGTGTGTGACAGATAACTATCTCACAATTCTTGTATCTCATTTGGTTGTGTCTTAACAGGTTAGGACTAGTGAAAAATAATAAATTCCATACAGCAAAAGACTCCCTCTCCCCCTTTACATTGTTAAAATGTAACTAGTAGACCAGAATGAAATTGATACTTAATAACGAATTAATGTCCAGAGTTTATATAAAGAGCTACCTCAAATGAATTAGTAAATTCAACTCAGTGGGAAAAAATGGGTAGAGAATATAAACAGGTAATACAGATATGCAATGAATGTATGAAAATCTGCCCGTCCTTACTAATGATCAGGGAAATTGAGTTAAAAAGCATTTGGTTTTATGTAAAAAGTATTTGGTTTTATGTCAATACATGCACACATATTTTAAAAGATTTATACACTACAGTGTTAATGAAAACAGGGAATGACTTTTACATGCTGTTGGTGGGACTGTAAATCTGTAAAGCTTTTCTCAGTAGCATCATGTCAGTATCAGAAATGAAAATCATAATTTTTTTGACCCAGCTATTCTACGTTTAGGGATCTATCTCAAAGAAGTACTTAGACATGGTTATAAAATGTAGTTACGTGGCTATTTATATCAGCATCATTTGTAGTAATAGTAGAAAGCCTTAAGTGCTTATTAATGGGAAATTGGTTACATTAATTATGATCCATCTGTACTAAGGAATACTGTGCACATGTTAAAAGAGAATGTGATAACTCTCATGTGAAAAGATCTAGACAAATCAAGTAAAAAAGCAAGTTGCAGAACATTATATATGTTCTGCATGACCCATTTGAAATGAAAAAAAACATTTAAAAGAAAACTATATCTTCCAATGTATATATTATATGTGTGTAAATGCGTAGGAAAAATCTAGAGAACCTACAAAAATAAGTACTGGTTTCATAACCACCGTCACTACCACCTCTAGTACTTCCCACACCCCCTTCCTGCTACATTTTTCTCCGCAGTGCTTAGTACTTACTGCCTTTTAAAACACACATTACATGTATGTATTAGTATTAATGTATTCTAAATATTTTTGTAATGAATTTCTGGCTGACTCTGGAGAGGAGAATGGAATTGGAAAGCTAGATTTTGAAGCACAGAATTTGCTTTTTTAGCTGTGTACTCTATGTAGTATTCAAGTATGAATAACAGCTTCCCTCATAAAATCGTTGAGAGTTAAATGGAATATCTAAAAAGCATTTAGCATAGTACCTGACTTAATAAAATTCTACCTCTAATCATTGCTACTGCTGTTGCCATTATTAAATGACATATCTGTGCTGTGCCTGGGTATGAGGGTTCGGCACAGTGCTTCATATTCACCTCAGATTTTCTGCAGCTCAGAGAGTTCCTTTAAGACCCTGCCTGCGCGTGCCATTAAGTGAGAGGATGATAGACACACTGGGATCACGGTACCCAAGGTCCTTGACATGCATTTCTAGAACTCCCTAGTTAAATAGGAAAGCATCTCTAGAGACCCATTTTGGAAATGTTTATATTAAGCGTTCTTCCTTGGAAGCTTGAGAAGTCAACCTTGGCAATGGATGCTTGGTCACTTGAGCATGCAGGAATTTCTCTTTACGCTGCGTTATCTTTGATCCAGTGCTTATGAGACTCTCTTTGTCCTCCCAGACAGACTGTGTCTGATAGCTCTGGCTGTCTTCTGTCCCTGCTCTTATCCTGCCCTGTGAAGGGAGAAGCAGCTCTGTGATAAAACACTGTCTTGTCTAAAACTTTCTGGAACTTACAAGCCTGGATTTCAGAAAAGAGATATTATATTAGACAACCTCTCTAATCCTTTAAACACCTTTTAGGTCCACAATATCTCTCGCTCTTAGGTTCTGATTATGGATTCTAGTAAATTTTATTGATAGAAAACACAACTTTTATTTTGGTGCAGTAAGCATTATTTGCTATTTTGAATCTAAAATCAGATAAACTGAAATTGAATTACTGTTTTCTTCCTGCCTGTGTCTTCCCTTCCCGTGTCTTTTCCACTTTCTCTAGTTTTTAAATGCTAATTTAAAAGAATCATAATTCAGACACACATTTTATTTTTATTTAGTTTAAAATTTTAATTAACATGTTTTATTTTAGTGACTTATACTTTATATTTTTTTAATGAAGGAAAGCCTAAAATAAACTGTTACAAAATAACAAAAGTAACTATTTGACATGGCATAAGTTCTTTATATTTCTAATTGTTGAAAGTAAATTAACTTCTCTATATAAGCATATAACTTACCTTTTGTATCTAAATCATAAGTTGATTTTTATTATCTAGTTTTTTGTTACATAATTTGTCATACATGTCTATTATGTGTATTAATATCTATATATTTTTGTTACAGTATTTTCATTGACATTTTATAAATATTGACATCTTTATTTCATGACAAAGTTCAGTATTTGTGTTTTAGAAGTTTTATTATTGGTGGATAAGTTTAGTTTATAAAACTAAAATAGTAACTCAGTTCTTGCCATTATACACATTTTATCTGATTAATAAATAAGTGATATGTCAGCAAAACAATGCTACAGCTAATGCTGTAAAAATAAGATTAGTCCTGAGCATTAGGGCTTTCTTCCAGCAAGTCCAGTAAATTCTGGATGGATGCCTTATACATTTAAAGATTGCCCTGAGATAGGAGGATAGAATATTAAAACACAAAATGAGCAGTGTAAGGTAAACTTAATTTTTAAAGGTGTCTTGTTTACCTAGATATAGTGTGTATATCTAGGCGACTTGAACTTAATATATTTTGGGAAACTATTAAAGAATCTGGTATTTTCTTCAAGAAAAAAAAAAAAAGCTGAACCATGCCTGACTAAATAGTCAACAGAATTGCAGAATAATTGTTTTTGAGGTTTAATGGGTAACAGTTGTCAAGTCACTAAAACACTAAAAGTAAAATTGAAAAGAAAATTGTTTTTGTTTTTTTTAGTATATAATTATATTTTACTAGTTTATTGATTTGTATTCCTTGTTTTTTAAGCAAGACCAAAATTTAAAGAAATGAAAATAAGTTCTGTAAAATTGGAATGTGTAATCTCTAATTCACAACAGGAAGGGCCTACTATTAATGTAATCTTTAGTAATAGTAAGTAAACAAATATTTGAAGACTTACTATATGTAACAAACTGGGCTAGTTATATGTGGATATATAAGTGTATTATCTCAAACTCTGATATTTAATATTCAATTCTTTATGAACTTTATTTTAAAATGTAGGAAATAATTTAAAGTACAGACAGCTTTTTTTATATTCATTCATTATAGTTATTGAACACTTAACAGGTGTCGGGCACTGGGCTAGAAACTTTAGGATATATTATTTCAGTACTCTTTTTTTTGAAAATTGAGGAAATAATAGTTTGGATCAGAATTTAGTATCAGAGTACCTGGAATTGCTACCTACTTTAACATCCTTACCTTGGAAATGTTCAAGTTTTTATTTTATGCTGTATTTATGGCCAAATTGAAAACAACTGAACAAAATCATTCTATTTATAAGTACAGGCTTGTTAACAGAATTGAGATAATGTTTGTTATAGTCTATGCCCCTAGCTTTCTGATCAGATCTCCTAGATTCCTCATAAAATTTCTAAAGAAAATGGCGTTTATTTCAAAAGACAAGATACAAAGACAGTTTTTAATTTCATCTTGTAGGAATTTATATTCAAATTTTAGATTGAATGAAATGGTTTTAGTGTGGTTTGTTTACCCAGATTATTTATTTGGGCTCTACACATATTGTGTGTGTAACTGGAAAACTTACTGAGAATAAATTTTGAAGAAATAATTTGTAAGCGTTGTTTACATGTTTAATTGTGTAGTTTAATGATATAAAATTAAACCTTAGAGGTTTTTATATGGAGGGCACAAAAATGCAAATCTTTTCGTGCTAAAAAAAGTTAAATAACTTACATGATATTTTTACGTAAAGTTTGTTTTTCCTTCAGTTTTATTGAGGGTTCTATTTCTAGTTCAGATGAGTGCTGAATGGTTTAGTCTGTGTGTATTGTTCCATGAAAAGAGAGGCAGAATGATTCTAGCATAAACACTAAAGCTCCTGTCCTTGTTTTACTCAATATAATTTTTGTAATTAATTTGCCAAAATATAAAAGCTTCTAATTTATTACTTCTGGAAGAAAAATCTTGCTCGTATAAGTTATGTATTGGCTGGTATGTTTTGTATTAGTCTTAAAAAAATTGGTAGCATGAGAAAATGCATTTAAATACAGCTGGGATTGAAAAAAACCCTTCATGGTTTTACATAACCTTAAATATTGTCTATAATCTTGACTAACCTGAACAGAACACTTTTTTCATATTCTTATAAATATCTTAGTTACTCTGTTCCTTCTAGGGGATATCCGTCTCACACCAGAGGACTTTGCCAGAGCTCAGAAATACTGCAAATATGCCGGCAGTGCTTTGCAATATGAAGACGTCAGCACTGCCGTGCAGAACCTACAGAAGGCTCTCAAGTTACTGACCACAGGCAGAGAATGAGCCTTTGTACCGCAGATCCGTGCATTTTGGCCTGAAGAACTAACAGCCTGTCCCACTATCTGCAGCCTATCAGGAGTCCAGTTTTAAGGAAGACTTCAGTCCCGTTGAATATAACAATGAAACCTGTGTCCCTGTATCAGGTTCCTGTTGAAGCATTCATCAGCAGCCTCAACCGGTTTTCATTGTCCATTTAGTGGATCCAGTCATCTCTGGCTACGTAGGGCTGCCGTTAGCAAGATCCTAAATGTTCCCGTTGAACCCTGCTTCCAAAAATGAAAATACAGTTCTCTAAAATGTATTGGGAATAAGCTTTGTATCTTAATTTACATAAATTAAGGAATTTTTTTGATCTTTAATTTGGACAAAGAGATCATATTACTTTGCTATAAAATTCTAAATTTAACTTTTAATAAAGATTGCCAGAATATTCCAGATTAGAGGTCATGTTTTTTTGTTTTCCTCAGAATTTATAAAACAGATATGAACATCCTAAACTATTAGATGAATCTGAAAGAATTTATGTTCAAAACTCAAGTTGTATTCATGTTCAATATCACCACATTAAAAGTTAATTTTTTCATGGCGGGAAATATAAGGTAAAGAGGTAGAGTCACTTTTAGACTGAAGAATAAGGTGGGTTTCCCAACTGCTTTCCCTTATCTACTGAAGCGTACCGTGAATTGCTTCATAGGCAGGTTGACTGCATGCATTAGAGAATGAAAAAAGACATTTGTAATAATGCCTGGAAACTTGGTGCTTTAAGTTAAGATTCTCCTCTGCTGCTATGGAATGGATTCTGTAGCGTGTATAGCTATGAAGTGGTGCAGAAGATTATAAGAAATTAGATTCTCAGTTGTTAAGTTCATAAGTTTTGTGGGGAATTTTGGATTTCCTGTGTCACCTGCATTTGTGCTGTGTAAAAAATAAATATGAGGATTCTTTTAACTAGTTCAACTTATTACAGAGCCAAATGTCTGTTTTGATTTGCATGCTAGAATTGTCATTTTTTAAGTCATTATTTTTAGTTGCAGGAATATGATGTAAGACACAAGCAGTTTTTCAAAAGAGAGAGGGAGAGGAGAATTTTGGCAAATTTGCCTGAAATTTATCTGGTCCATTTCATATATTGCACTAAGATTGAGGTTTGTTAACATATGGGTGAGCAACTATGGGCTGGCCACCTGTTGTGTAAGTAAAGTTTTATTGAATTAAAATTATACCCATTCGTTTATACTTTATCTGTGGTTGCTTTCCATGACTACAGAATTATGTGGCCTGCAAGTCTAAAATATTTACTATTTGGCCCCTTAATAAAAAGTTTGCTGACCCCTGATCTAACAGTCTACCTGATGAAAGAAAATGAATTAACTCATAATCATTTGTGTCTTTGCATTCTTCTTTGCATAAGTGTAATGCTGTGGTATAGGGTTTGATGTGGTGACTATTCAAACAAAATAAACTTCTAAATTATTTCAAAAACAAGCCACAGATAACATGCCTCCTGAAAAATGTTTTCATATCTGTTACCAGTAAATTCCTACAGCATTTGTAGGGTTCAACATTTACATCTAGAAATCCAGTGCTCTGATATAGTTCTCTATAACTTGAAGTAACAGAAAAGTGGCTAGAATGATCATTAGTGTTATAAGTGGTAAAAATTTTCATTCAAACCTTAATATGTCTGGACACTAGAAAGAAAACTGTCACCTCTTATTTTACACCCTCTTTTATTGCCCCCAGTTGATAGAACACATGGAGGGAAGAAGATAATATGGAAACGCTGGAGTCTACTGATGAGTGAGTGAGTTTTTCAGTCCTTAACTGGAAACGGAAGCAACACCACAGCCACCGCAAAGTTTGTTATGAGAACGAAACGAGATACTATACAGGAAGTGCTTAGCACATATAGCATTCCATAAAGGTTTATCGTTATTAACGTTAAGTTTATATTAAGATTATAAGTTGTTAATTTATTTCCCACGTAGCAGGAAATCCCGGTAGTCTCTGTGGCCCATTGCTTAAAAACTCTAGCACAAGGGGATTAAACTCTAAAGATTTTCACTTTGTATTTCTTCATATAAAATCTGACAAGATGAAGTTAGAAATTTTCTGATGTAACACAAGGATGACAATTTTCATTTAGTCATTCAACATGTATTTATTGAGCAGCTACTGTGTGCTGGATACTGTCCTTTGCATGAGGAAATAGCAGAAAACAAGAAAAAAATCTCCGCCTCATAGAGTTTATATTCCAATAGGAGGAAATAGACAAACTTAATAAAAAGTATGTCATGTATTATATTCAACTAGTGGTTTTTGAAGGGTAATTGCTAGAAATGCAGATCTCAGGTCCTACCCCAGTACTTACCCAATCAGAAACTCTGAGGATGGAACCTAGCATTCAGAGTTTCAAGAAACACTTGAGGTAGTCTGGTGACCCCTAAGGTTTGAGTGGTTTAGCGCTACCCAAATCAGAAAGATGGAGAGCCGAGGAGAAGAGAGGTTTCCCTTCAGCAGTCATTCTCAGAGTATGTTCCCTGAACCCCCAGCACAGCACAGGAACTTGTTAGAAAGTTCTAGGAACCACACTTTATGAACTTCTGTATTAGATAGTGATAAATGCTATGGAGAAAACCGGAACATAGGATAGAAAGTGCTTAGGTGTGTCTAAACATAAGCATATTTAAATAGGATGGGATCGGATAGGCCTTACTGGGGTGACATTTGAGCAAAGAAAGAAAAAGAAAGACACCTGGCAGAGGGAGGTAGACAAGAGGTCAGAGGGTATAAGTGAGGAAAGTTTGTGAAGTTGCTAGAAGGCTTAGGACCATATAGACTTTTTGTAAAATACTTGACTTTATGAAGATAAGAGAGCTTAAGTTTTGAACAGAAGAGTACCTGATGTGACTTAACTTTTAAAAGGGTCATACTGCCTATTATGTTGAGATTAGACCATAAGGTGGGCAAGGGTGGACGTTGGCAGACCAATTATAAAGAATCTTGCAATAATTAAGGTGAGATATTCCCATGGCTTAGATCAGGAATAGCACTGGAGGTGTAATAAGACGTAATTGGTTTCTGGTTGTTTTTTAAAGTAGAGCCACAGTATTTCCAACCAACTGGACCTGAGCTATGAGTGTTGAAGGAGTGCAGGTTGACTCACCTTTTAACCTGGACGCCTGAAACAAATAGTCATTAATTGCAGTGGGGAAAGTTGCTGAATTCTGCTGACGTTTAGGCTGAAGTTTCCAAGTACATGTGTCCATCTCAAGTAAAACTATTTGATAACATTGTTTTGTCAATGCAGACAGATGGGGAAGAAAACGCAATCAAGTTCTGTGCACAGTGGTGGTCACAGACATCTCACTAAATCACCGCTGAACTGGAGTGAAACCCAAGGACAGTTCCCATGGTTAGCATGGCCAAGGAAATTTGCAGGCTGCCAGATTACACCAAGGGAAAGACCCCAGTTACAGGCCTTGAAAATTAACAACCTCAGGTAGTCATGGAATTTATCTCTGTGTGACGTGTATGTACTTCTAGAAATCTGAGGTGACTGTGTATGTGTTAAGGTTATAGGTTGTCCTTTCTAAAGAACTTTATACTTTAATTGTTACAAATACCTTCAACTTTAAAAGAACAATAACTGACCAGGGGTTGAGGTTCCACTTACCTGCATAGCTTCCTCTCTCTACCCATCCCCACCCCGCTTTTAACTTGACTCATTTTATGTACCAAAGCAATTCGATCAGATCATCTAGCTTGGACCATAAATAAACCTCCACCAGGAGAAAAGTTCTGTTCTTAAAAGAGATCAGAAAATGTTAAGACACCACTATGCTTATGTGACTATAATCTTCTATGTCTACGTGGAATTCTGAGCCTGAAAGCTCATTCATTGGAGTATACGTAAGCAGGACTAATCCCAAATAAGCAATACTTGAATCATAGTAAATATAATAGCAAACATTTGAGGGCTTACTAAATACCAGGCACAATTCTAAGTATTTTACATGTATTCATTTAATCCTGCCAGTGATCCTGAGAGGGGGGTCTAGCCTTGTACCTGCTTTACAGACGAGGAAAAGCGCCCCTGGGCAATAGTAAATGTGCCTGAGGCTGCACAGCTAACCCTGAAAGTTTCAAAGCTCAGACTGCCTCCTTCAGACTGGAAGTCACATCCACGTTGGTAAAGCATCAGTTAAATTATTGTGAGTACGCTGAGATGCTGTACGTGAACTCCATATCATCACAATCAAGGTCACAATTCCTATTTATTAGCAGGCGGTGTAACACCTCGATTTTTCTATTATCTGGGCACTGTGTTCTGGTTAACTGTGGGTGTTAGGCAGTGAACACAGAACAGGAACACACACGCTGGAGCCTATGACCTGAGGGCGAATGGACGGGGAGTCCAAGGAGAAAACAGCCAGGGTTTGAATGGCGGGCACAGTGGATTAGTATTTCATCTCCTAGAGGGTGTCGCACATCGCTAGAGAGTCCTGAGTTTCCCAAACACTCCTGGGTTTTTTTTTCCTTTTTATCTTAAAACCACACTACTATTTTTATTTTAAATATACATTAGATATCCCTCACCTTCAGGAAATCAGATTGGGATGTGGACTTCACTATAAATATAATCATGTTTATAATTAGTTATTTCCTCAAATTTTTTCCTGAAAGTCTATATCCCTTCAGATATCCCCGGAAGTTTGTGGGGACAGAGATGACTGTCCATGGTACAACTTCCTGGGGAAAGTTACAGTTAAACGATATCGGGAAACGTTGTAAAAATACTAACATTTATTCAAAAATATTAATAAGCACGGAACATCCATCACCAATTAAAGGACAGTGTGATAACGCCGCACTGGAGGTATTGTATGAGACACAATGGTTCTTCCTGGGGAAGCTCGGAGGCCTTGAAGAAAAGGTTGCGCTGAAGGTTTGCCAAGTAGACAAGCAGAGAAGAGTGAGCGAACATGAAAGCGTGAGCAACAGCATGAAGGGAAAAAAAATGTAGGCGGTTCAGGGAATTGGAGTAACGTCGTGTGGCCATGACAGAGGGCCTACTGAGAACAGGCGTAGTCAGATTGCACAGGTGGTGAGGTGCCGTGGACTGAATTGTGCCCTGGCAAACTTCAAATGTTGAAGCCCTACCTCCCAATGTAACTTTGGAGACAGGGCCTTTTTGGAGGTGATTAAGGTTAAGTGAGGTTATTAGATGGGCCCCTAATCCTATAGGACAGGTGTCCTTTATATAAGGAGAGGAAAAGACCCTAGAAATATATCTCTCTCCCTTTTTTCTCTCCCTCTCCCTATCTCCATCTCCATCTCTACTTCCATTTCTGTCTCCACGCTCACACACAAAGAAGCCATGTGAGGACAACAAGAAGACAGCCGTCAACAAGCCAGAAAAAGAGCCTCACCAGAAACCAACCCTGGTGGCACCTTGATCTTGGACTTTGAGCCTCCGGAACTGTGAGGAAATAAGTTTGTGTTGCTTAAGCCACCTCGCCTGGCGTTTTGGTATGGCAGCCCAAGCAGACTCAGCAACAGGATGAAGGCGCTGGCAGTCCTGTCAAAGAACTGACACTTCCTCTCTGAAAGAGATGGAAAGTATAAATTCCTTTTTTTTTAACTTCAATGACAGTTTTATTTTTATTAAATTTATTGGGGTGACATTGGTTAGTAAAATTATATAGGTTTCAAGTATACATCTCTATGCATATGATACATCATCTTCAGAAACCTCCGTTCTCTAATACTGAAATAGAAGTATGATGATAGTTGCCTCAAAAAGTTCTGAAATTATTTGTCAATCATTGCGATCTAAGAAAAAAAAAACCCTCATTGGACAACATTAGAATATTGGAATATTGGGCGGAGTCCATCCATGGACTTGATTCCTCGTTCAAATGCTTGGCTCGTTGAAATCATGAAGAATCACAGTGAATC